CTACTTGTAATGTCAAAAGTTGAAAATTAATTAATTATGCAAATTAGGTAATTAATATGTACTGACATTACCTTAAAAACTATCAGGTTTGTGCAGTGTCCTATGACATCTATGTACCAAGTTTCATTGAAATGTTATGATTACTACTTGAAATATCAAAAGCTGAAAATTAATTAATTATGCAAATTAGGTAATTAATATGTACTGATATTACCCTAAAAACTATCAGGTTTGTGCAGTGTCCTATGACATCTATGTACCAAATTTCATTGAAATGTTATGATTACTACTTGAAATATCAAAAGCTGAAAATTAATTAATTATGCAAATTAGGTAATTAATATGTACTGATATTACCTTAAAAACTATCAGGTCTGTGCAGTGTCCTATGACATCTATGTACCAAGTGTCATTGAAATGTGATGATTACTACTTGTAATGTCAAAAGTTGAAAATTAATTTATTATGCAAATTAGGTAATTAATATGTACTGACATTACCCTAAAAACTATCAGGTTTGTGCAGTGTCCTATGACATCTATGTACCAAATTTCATTGAAATGTTATGATTACTACTTGAAATATCAAAAGCTGAAAATTAATTAATTATGCAAATTAGTAATTAATATCTACTGATATTACCCTAAAAACTATCAGGTCTGTGCAGTGTCCTATGATATCTATGTACCAAGTTTCATTGAAATGTGATGATTACTACTTGTAATATCAAAAGCTGAAAATTAATTAAAAATGCAAATTAGGTAATTAATGTGTACTGATATTACCCTAAAAACTATCAGGTCTGTGCAGTGTCCTATGACATCTATGTACCAAGTTTTATTGAAATGTGATGATTAGTACTTGAGATATCTGGAAAAACCAAAAATTGATTAATCATTATGCAAATTAGGTAATTAATATTGCACAGATTTTTACCTAAAACTAATGAAATCTGCACATTAGTTTGGAGCATCTATGTGCCAAGTTTCATCAAAATCCAATTAGTGGTTCTTTAGATATCAGTGAAACAGTCATGGAACAGCTAAAAATCAGCTAATTATCATGCAAATTAGGTAATTAATATGCATGGATTTTTACCAAAACCTAATCAAATCTGCGCATTGGCCTACGCATCTATGAACCAAGTTTCATCAAAAATCAATGTATGGTTCTTGAGATATCAGTGGAACAGACACACACACAGACAGACAGACAGACACAGACACACTAACTGCAAAGACTCCCTTTTTGTGCTTCGCACACAGGAGTCAAAAAGTCAGTTGTTATTATAACCTGCCAATGAACTGATAGAAACATGCAAACAAATTATCTTCACTTTCAAACTGATAAAACTACATGCAATCCAATTCTGTGAAAGTCAAGTTTTCATAACTAATTATCCAAATAATTTAAACTATTGTCGTGCTTTAGATAGTAATATGTGTAAAATTTGTATGTTTTAAGTATGTGTTCTAGTAGTTAGTGTAACCATTTTAATTTCTTCTGAGGCATTTTAAGTGTTTCAATAAACTTTGGTAACTTTCAATAAACTTTCAAATTGGTAAGTACAAGTACATTTCATCAAGATTAATTTTCTTAGTCCTAGATGGTTTATAAATATATTTTGGCAATTAGTATCCAAAGATTAAAAAAACAACAACAACCATTATTAACTTACGATTTTTTTATTGCACGTGTTTCTTCATTTTCCTCTTCTTCCAACAAGAGGCGCAAGTAGTAATCACCAATTTTAATCTCATCAGCAAGGCACTCGTATCTCACTTCAAACTCGGCATGATTCCAGGAGATCGTGTGTGATCCGCCAAGATCTTTGTCAACGCTAAACGCTCTCATCTCCCCTTCCAGACCATCACGTAATTCCTCACGTGTCTGTGGAATAAAGATTATGAGTAACAATTACCTTGGTTCATAATCCTTTTATACAAACATGAAAAATATTATATTAAATCAATAAGAAACTAATTTCCAATTTACATAATTTTGATTACCTTGTGATTCCAAATGAGGTTGGATTTTGCATGATCTTGACTGAACCTAGAAAACGTAGAAAAATAATTAATACATGTTAATCCTTCACAGACTTGTCAGGATTCTGAATGAGGTTTAGCCGAGTTGTATATTTTGAGGATAGGAAGTTAACCGTATCGTGAACATTTTAACACAAGATACGTTGTATCATATGTATTCAGAACAAGAGACTCATTCTCAACTCATTACAACTTACTTGTAATAGAAGAGTGCCCAATTTGCTTCACTCTTTATTCTCTGCCTTCGTTTCCTTAACACAATTGGTTTCTATAGCGACAAAGACATATGATATTTTTAGTCAGATGTTGTTTCTAATCTTAGGTACAGATTTTATAAAATAAATAAAATATTCTAGATTATATGTTTAGGGGAAATATTTGAGAAGATAGAATAAAAAAACAAAAACAATGTCATACAATGTATTTAAATACCAAGCAGATATTACGAGATTTTGAATGTCATAAAAAAAAAAAAAAAAGTAAAAAAAAAAAAAAAAAAAGACAGATTTGCCAAAGATTGTTCAGTGCAAATGCAGTTCACAGGCTACTAGTACAAATCAGAATACAGATGGATGTCTTCTAAAGACTGACCAACAACTAAAAAACAAATCTCTCTGACATTCAATTTAGACGGGTTTAAAGCTAGAACACGTTTTACATGCGTTGTGATTTAAGAAAAAGTAAATTTTCTCTGGATTTTCCTTGAAATGAGTTCCCCACACACCCCCAAATTATGAATGAAAATTGCGTAGTACACGTGAATCATTCAGCTCTAGCAAGGGTGGATAAAGATAAGGGTTTCAAACGCAAGACATATCAAGCATAAACCTCACTTGAAAACCTACAATGCATTGCAAGAACTGTCAAAATGATAGAAATATTTTGCAAAATTCCTTCAAAATTCATTACTGATATTAGTATATATTAGCAAAACTATTTGATCCTGTGTAGAAATATTAATTGTATTTCAAAATAAATAAATGCAATCTTTTGTTTATGTGCACAAAGACAGTCTAGAAAACCTTCATTATCAATTCAACATTGTTATATTTCTTAAATGTATGAATGCTTTTAGTTCATGTCACAGAACATGATTATGTACATTGTAAGTTGTCTGCCCTTTTTTTTTATCCACCCTTTGTTTAGTATTCATAGTAGTAGTAGTAGGATAAGTCAGCATATGTGTGATAAAGTGACGCACTCACCGGCATGTTCTGAAGACAGCATTAGTAGAAAGAAGTACGGTAAGAAAAGGAAAGAGATGAAATGAATGATCACAAAAATATTTCTTTGACTGTTATTTGGGCAGAATAATATATATGGTTTCTGGTAAGACAGTATAACTATACGTGAGGGGAAACTGTATGGTGGAAATGATATGCAGAAAAAAATTTAAATTCAACTACGAACAGCACAATAGAACGAACGCATTACAATGCTACAGAACACACATACTACCGTAAATGCATTAATTAACTCGCTGGGTTTTTAATCTATTTTCATTGGTGACTGAATTTTGTGAAATTAAGTCTATGTGACATGTGGAATAACAATATAAGTTCATGAACCCATCAAAAATGCTCAAATCATGAAAACAGGGAAATTAAAAGCCGGTGAAAATAAATGATTCTACAGTAACCCACAATGACACACAACACACAATGAGACATAAATATACAAACAGATATACATGTACTTACAATGATTTTAACAAATACAAAATAAATATGACACTAAATATCAAATATGCGTCCATATAAAGCACTGCTATTTTTACAACTCAGATAGTTTTCGTAATATTTAGTGTAAATCACCGACTTACTTAAATTGTGCATATACAATGTTTTGTTTTTACTTACAATGCATACACTACACAGTTCATTACAATACATTGACCAATTGTGATTTGTTGTTACCGTGGCCACGAATATATTTCATACACCTAGCAACCAATATTGTCAGCTAATTTAGCTGGCAATCCAGCAAAGCAATGTTGTTTTTGGAAGTCAGTAGATTGTTATCGGATTTGGAAACAACAATACTTGTAACATGATGGATGATATTGCTGGCTAAGTGACAAAAAAACATTTTAGCAGCCATAGCATCATCATCATTTTTAATATCGATGAATTGGTGCAATCATACCAGATACTATTTACAGTAATCGCATCGTATTTATAAATTTTTATTTGATGAACACCGTGCAAAAATATTGAACAGAATTTACAGTTACATTGTTAGAACAGGAAATAGTGGGACTACTTACAGGTGAAGCAGAATGTGAAGAATGTGACTGAATGTAAGAGCGAAAGAAAGATATAGATTTATCAAGAAAGGTGAAATATGGGCAAGAAAAGCAATTAAAGATGAGCCAGACATAGAATGACCATTTATGAAAGTGTTTCTATGACAACACGACAATTATTTGAAACCAAGATCATGATGTTTTACCAACATTTTAGAGTGCAGCTTTTTAGACATTTTTCTATCATTTTTTAATCAGTGAACATGATTTCTAATTGGTGTTGGTCTTGATATGTGGGTAGTACCGTGATTGGTGCAGATGTTAAATCAGGCACGAGTTAAACATTTACTATTAAAAGCAGTGAATCTGAACTACACCAAAGTACAAGACATAAAGGGTGTTTACAATGTACATAAACTGTATTATTAAACAATTGCAACTTACATCAGATTTTTTCTTTTCTTGCATTATTTTCGCTTTCCAATGAAGCAAAACGTTTTCAATTTGCTGTAACTGTGGATTCTTACGACCTCTGTTAGACTGGTCCTGTAGTCACAGATTGTCAGAGAGTGAACATTTTGATTGTCATGTAATTCACTATTTTGACTGAATTGCAATATATATCAGGTAACATGTCAATATGTAGGTAACATGATTTTGGCAGGTAACATGATTTTGGCAGGTAACATGATTTTGGCAGGTAACATGATTTGTCAAGTCAGAGGATTTTGGCAGGTAACATGATTTTGGCAGGTAACATGATTTTGACGAGTAAAATGATTTTGACAGACAACATAACTTTGATAGGTAATATGATTTTGTCAGGTAACATGATTTGACAGGTAATATGATTTGTCAAGTCAGAGGATTTTGGCAGGTAACATGATTTTGACAGATAATATGATTTGTCAAGTCAGAGGATTTTGACAGGTAATATGATTTTGTCAGGTAACATGATTTTGGCAGGTAACATGATTTGTCAAGTCAGAGGATTTTGGCAGGTAACATGATTTTGACAGATAATATGATTTGTCAAGTCAGAGGATTTTGACAGGTAATATGATTTTGTCAGGTAACATGATTTTGGCAGGTAACATGATTTGACAGGTAATATGATTTTGTCAGGTAACATGATTTGGCAGGTAACATGATTTTGGCAGGTAACATGATTTTGACAGACAACATAACTTTGATAGGTAATACGATTTTGTCAGGTAACATGATTTGACAGGTAATATGATTTGTCAAGTCAGAGGATTTTGACAGGTAATATGATTTTGTCAGGTAATATGATTTTGTCAGGTAACATGATTTGACAGGTAACATGATTTGACAGGTAATATGATTTTGGCAGGTAACATGATTTTGTCAGGTAACATGATTTTGTCAGGTAACATGATTTGACAGGTAACATGATTTGACAGGTAATATGATTTTGTCAGGTAACATGATTTTGTCAGGTAACATGATTTTGTCAGGTAACGTGATTTTGGCAGGTAACGT